ATTCTGGTAAGCTTTGCTGCTTACTTTTTGGACATATGTTATCGCTTTTGTCTTCAAGCTATTGGAGAGCCTTATCATAAATCAGCCATTGAATTGCAGATTCCAATATATGCTTGTCTCATCACCAGTATATGTTTGCAATTATATATTGTCGGGAGACAGTTCTGCTTACGTTCAAGACTGGCAAGTGTAATGTGTAAAATGACAGTGCCAGTTTGCTCCGCCCTTGTTTGTGGAATTTTGTTTTCGGATATTCTTTATTCAGCGTATCTCAAACAAAACGACACAGGCAGACTGATAATTACAATAGTTTCACCTCTCTTGGGGGTTGCTGCGAAGGTAATGGCAAGAATTTGTGTTCAACGATTATGGAACATTACTCATCCAGGATACTCTTACGTGTTATTGGTGCCTTTCTACTTTGGCTCAGCGATTATCTTTCGAGTTTTACAAGCTGATCTTGACAAACTCAAGACTATCGCAATTGTTGGAGTTATTCATGGAGCTGCAGAGGTAATTGAGCGCAGCATCAAGGCGTTGGTTGATCACACTGTCCATATGTTGTGGAAAAGGAAATATGCTCCTTGGGGGAGTTTTCGCACCCCTCGTCGCGAACGACTCATGGCAGATATCATCATCCTTAGTATGTTGTCTGAATTGTCGCTGTGGTGTATGTGAACTGGGCTAAGATACTTGTATGCATTGTTTTGGGAAAACCACAGACTCTTATGACTGCTAAAAAACGCTCACGCTAGTACATTAGTTCAGTTAGTAATTATATAATAAACAGAACATTACATGGCCGCCTGGGGATACGAATTTTATCTTCGAGTGCGAAAGTATCTCTCACTCGTCCGCTGCGCTCACTCGTGAGAGATACTTTCAGCACTCGAAGATAAAATTCGTATCCCCAAGCGGCCATGTAATATCCTCTATGTCCTTTATAACTTCTGAACACAACTCGTCTCTGTTAAATTCATGCGATTTGTGTTATTTTTTTAACCGAAAGATTTCATGCTGCTTTAAGAAATTTGAACGTAGAACTTCATTTTCACAAAGACTAGTTCCCTGTGCAAAAAAGAAAAAATTGCAAAATTGTGAAATTACGCCTTGAGAAATGTGCCTCTCAATTTCTCGCGATATGAACTGACCGCGAAAAAGGCCATACAATGATCATTTGAGCCCCTATGTAAGAAATTGTGCTATTGCTTCGATTGAGAGGTGTATGTAGTGACGTAGTGCTGCACAGATCAGAGATGATCAAGCTCCTTTTTCACATTTAAGATCATATCTACAACTTCTGATGACAAAGAAAATAAAAGCACCGTCTATATTGCAACACCTCCTCTGGGTAAATATCACTTCTGTATCATAGTCACGTTTTGTTGTTCTTATGTTCTATCGGGAGTCCGTTGAGTAAAAGGTTCCTGGTTTTATGCCATTTCTTTCACCCTGATATGGCGTAGATAGTGCACTCAAACAGTTATTTGGTTCGTAAGATTTTGCTTTGATTAGCCATTGCATAACAGTCACAAGCTTTGGAAAATTCGACAGTTTTAAAACGCTTATATATCGATCAGAAAATATAGCATGATTCTTTAAACGTAACTGTAAATTTTCCACCCATCAATATTGGGACAAAGCTTTTCTGTAGTTTCTAGCTTTAAGATTATGATAGCTCAAGATCATCTTTGTGCTCTTTCTCCTTGATTTTCTCTCAGAATGCTTCAATGACACTGGCTTTTACACCTGCGGTGAGTATAAAAACTGCATGAGGGTTTTGGGTGTCATCGCTAAGTGGCAACATTATTTCAAGTCTCGAGTTTTCGGTTATGACGTATTCAATTTCAGTTGCACAGCTTTTTTTCACGCGTGATAACGCTAAACAAAGGAAAATAAAGACTATCATGTTAAAAACTAACTTACTACTCAAGTGCAATAAGATAGCCTCTTCCAGGCACTCAGTGCGTAAAACGGAGCGAAATGGAAAACGACGCGAAAACAGTATAGGAATGAAAAAGCGAGAGAAGCTTGGACCCAAACCTCCCTGGTTTTTTTCAATCCTCCACAAGTTTTCAAGACTGACAGTCGAAGGCCGGACATCTTGGGTTTCACAGGGTTTGCTTTCTTTGCTATATGATTGGCGTATAGAAAACTCACACCATTCTTTCAAACAATCAGATCCAAAATTAAAACTATTGGTTAATCAGATTTTGCAATGGGATGCACTATTAACTCAGAGATCTTGTTCTTGTGCAAAGCTATGTACGACAAGTGTTCTTAAAAGTGGACTCAACATCAAGCATATCTCTGACGGATCCTATTCTTCTCTAATGTTACCCAGAGCTAGGGCCACCGGAGAACTTGACCTTGGTTAAAGTCAAACACCTGTCACGCAATACGTCAAAAGCTATGGTCAAGTGGTGGCCACCACGTAAGATATCCTCTACAGATCATGTACAGGAATACAGATTAGCGTGGAGAAAGATCCCCATCCTTAGAGGACAAAC